GAAGGGCAGCAATGTGCGCTAAGAGACGGGAGGAACGAGAAGAATGTTGCTGTTGTTCGTTCTTTGAGCTGTCGCTCTCTGCTAATTAACGGCATTCACAATGAGCACACAATGACGCTCACTTTTATTGTCTGTTTGATTACAGTGAACATGCTTTTCGGGTCTTCCGGTTCACCTGTTCAGCACTGCGATTAAAACTCATTCTCTCTTCGCAAATGGAAGGGTCTATGTCATTTTACTGTCAGCTAGACAAGAAATATTTCAGCCCACAATCAGCCCCGGCATTGTTTCCAAGAGTTTGTACTGTGCAAATTGTTACTAAAACAGAGTTACAAAAACTCAAACACAGTGGAAAGTAGAAATAAACCAATGTATATACACTTGTGACTAATCAGACTAGAAGATATGCCTGGCACATATTGAAAAAAAAAAACATAAAATGTTATAACTAGGTACATATAAGGGCTACAAATAGTTTTTCACCTTAGCATGAAGCACTTTATGAAGTTCAAAATATAACTGTGTAAAAAAAGTATTGCTTTTTAAACGTGTATTTTTATTCAGAATGCAACAAATTAAAAACATTTTAAAAATGGTAGCTACACCTGCTTAGAATTGTACATGTAGTAAAAATACAACAAAAACAAATTGACAAATCAGATACAGTATTATCATAGCCACGCATTTGCTGGCTTCAAACTTTCCCTGTAAAAACAGAACTAATGGTACTCTTGTCAGCTCTCTGCAATGATTTTAGAAGTGCAAGGGTGATTGTCGTGATGATTCTCACTAAGAATTTCACTTCCTTAATAAGAAACCCATAATTTCGGTTTTTGAAGTAGGGGATTGACAAGTGACGGCCATTCTATAAAGAATAAGCTTTCTAAAAATTACCTATCTCTGCTTACAGCTGTAAGATGAGTAATGACTTGAGAGACTGGGAGAGTCAGTTGTAACACCATGGCTGTATCACAGTTTATTAAGATTTTAATTGTATTATGTATGTATGTAACTATAACTGTTCTTATAATGCAGTAGGTCTAAATGAGTCGGTATAAATATATTTAAAGAATAGTAATAATTAATACTTAACGCAACTTTGATTTGCTCAGTAGCACATGGCTCACATCAAGGCCTGATGAATATTTTGTTTTAGTTCATTAAACACTAGCATATGTAGAGCAGTTTGTGCAAGGTGACTCTTCTCTTGTAGCGTTGTGCAGGTGGGATCATTTTATAGCAATTTCAAATAATTTTGGATCATTTGCAAAATCTCTTCAATGTCGGGCACAAGACGTATAGTTCTCCCATAAGCTGACACTGTCTCTTTTGAATTCTTTTGAATATATATAATCTCCAGATTGATGTATTGATGCTACTTGAGTCATGGGAAAGGATGTGAGGAGAGGAAAGCATTGATTGGGAATGGGGGACATAATGTGAAATGGAGATTATCAGCACTGTTGGATTTACAATAGAGAACTGAGATATCCTCTTTGAATATGAGAAATAAAGAAAAAGCAGTAGAGTTGGTGAGCATTTCAAAATAAATTTGATCCACAAATCATATTTTTTAATAAGGTTAAATGGGTTAGTCACATGGTTAAGAACAGTATTGATGAACCGGCGGAGCCTAGATGACATCACAATACCTGTGATTGATAAGAAGGATGTGTGTGTTCTTCAGTATTTGACTAAACTTAATCTTACATCCTGTATTACCATGAATGGTATTGCTTTGTGTTAATAATATTGTGTACGCCATCATTTTTACCACCACTACTGAAACAAAATATCTGATTATATCAATGCAAGTTAATCTGAAATTAAATAATTTATATAGGTTCACAAAGAGCTCAAAAGAGCACGTAAGCTTTGTCATTTTAAAAGCTTTATATAAATTTGTACTTATGCTTTCAATTTGTTTTAATACTTTCAATGCAAGAGCATTTAATGCTTTTTAATGTTAATTGTAAATTAATATAATACTTATTTGATTATATTATTTATAAATAATTCTAATGCATTCAATATAAATATATTAAATTATTAAAGGTGAAATATGGTTAATTTGGTCTTTATTTATTTATTTTTACAATAAACTGCTTTAATTTGGAGCAAGAGATTGAGAGAACCACTGACAACTCCTAAATATTGTTTTGTAAAACATGCAATTCTTCATTTTGAAATAATAAACTGATCATTAATTAATTATTAAACACATTCTAGATATGCTTATAAATCAAGAATGAAGCATTTATAGCTGTATTTATAAACTGTGTGTTGATGTATATTAACGCTTCATAAATTATGAACTAACTGTTTACTAATGTTTTACTAATGGGTAGTGTGCAGTTATTATAAAGTGTTACCAAATGTGTGTAATTCATTGATATTATACCATACAACTGACAAATATTTAATTACACATTGCCAAATGAAGATCCAGTCAGATTCATTTTAGTTTCAAAAATCTTTAGTACAACATACAACCACAAACACATTAACAATTCTGGTTTATGGAGTCAGATAAGACAAAATTAGAATTTTGGTTGAGAAAATACATTAGTTATTTTTACTTAATCACAAACAGATTCTGTAAGAACTAACTTGCAAATGTAATTTTCTCAAAATTTTTATTCAGGAAAGCTAAACACCTCGAAACTTCATTAGCTCACAACCAAACTTCTCTAGTTACGCTACATATAATTTTTCTTTGATTCACTGAGGGCACGTTTACACAACAATGATGTAACAAAAACGGAAAACTTTTTCACATACAGATGACAGCATCAAGATGATCCTGTTCACATGGCCTGGTGATCTCACTTTGTAAAGAAACATATGATGGTTTGTGTGTGTCATTTGAAAACAAAAATACCAATTTGAGAATATATTACATTGTTTTGAATGTAAAGTTTCATTTTGCACTAGAATTGAGTGCTTTTACCCATTGTGTGAGTGTTTAAAGTTCTGAGAGTATGAGGCACGCTTGCAGGAATTGTGTAAACAATCGAGAAAAACTGTAATATGCACAATGTCACCATTTTCACAAATTCGCATTGTTGTAGAGACAATAACTATATCGTTTTTAAAAAACGTTCACTTTGGATCCCGTTTCAGGCCCCCAAAATGCTGTTGTCGTAAATGAACAGCCAAAACGCAGACAAAGTTTTTAATATTTAGTTGTTTAGTTGGTGTTTAAACAAAATGGTGTTGTTTAAACAGCCCCTGACACGAAAAGAATTTGGACTTCACTGGTTGAGCTGCATGTTACAATCTGAACAATGGATTTTCAATAGGGGTGTAACAATCGTGTCACAACATATCGCAATACAGAAAATGCAACAATATGTTTCGTGTAACGTCCACCCAAAATTAAAATTGCTGTGCGTGGAAAAATTTAGGTGTAAAAAGTGTCACAAGTTTTAGTGTCAGTACTACATTAAACGTTATTTCATGGCTTGGTTGAATTCTAATGTAGAATGCAGTCTTGTATTTCTTGATAACAGACCGCCATGAAAAACAGAGCGTTGCCATGGACAAAGTTCCGTTCACTATGGAGGATGAACTCCTTTAAATTAATAAAATCTCTTTTAAATCAATACTTTGTGTCAAATTATTGATTTATTAGGTATCCATGTACTAAGAGGGATGAGGCTGTTTTTATAGCATATACAACCCCTTCGGGCTGATTCAAGACCTGATCCTGATCAGCCTGTCGGGTTTGTATTCGCTATAACAACCACCTCGGCCTACATTATCCCTACATATTTAATGTTGAATATAATGTATAATAATGCAATGGGGGGATATTTTTGGGTCCTGATAATGGCAAATGTCTTATGTTACCAGTAAAAAGTGGCCAGTAAATTCATTTACACACTCAATGTAATACCAAATTTCACATTTTAATCAACAGTTCATCTTTTGCTAACCTTTTACCATATGTGTTGGAGTATCGAAATAATATAGAATCGTGATACAGGGGTTGGACAATGAAACTGAAACACCTGGTTTTACAACACAATAATTTGTTAGTATGGTGAGAGCCTCATTTTGCATCCAAATACAGCACCAATTCATCTTGGGAATGACGGATAGAAGTCCTTCACAGTGACCAGAGGGATTATGAGCCGTTCCTCTTCCAGAACAGTGTCCAGGTCACTATATGATGCTGGTGGACTCGCTCCTCCAAAACACCTCAATAATATTTAGATCTGGTGACTGTGCATGTTCAACGTCACTTTCATCTTCATCAAACCCTTCTGTCACAAGTCTTGCTGTGTGTGTTGGTGCATGATCATGCTGATACACGGTTTGAGCATCAGGTGCTCATGATCCTCCAGAAGGGTTTGGTAGTCCTCGGCAGTGTCGTGTCCATCTAATACAATCTGGATTGTCATGATATTGGAGCTCAAACCATTACTGATCCACCCGTGCTTCACTCTGAAGATTGGCTGCCAGGCATATAGATGTGAAACCTCCAACATTGGCCAGTGTTTCAGTTTCATTGTCCAACCCCTGTATGTATCGAATTGCGACATGAAGGTATTGTTAGAACCCTACTTTTCTATGTATTTTAGTTTGGTGTTCCAGCAGAAAAATGCACATGAAAAAAAAAAATTAAAACATTGTTAGCAGTTAAGAGGAAAATATGCACACTGAAAGGTAGAATGGATTTAGAATTTTCAGAATGGATTTTTAACTGTGACTTTTGACTGAGAGGCAACAAATAACAAACAAAATTAAAATTGAGGGCTGTAGAAAATGCAGTCTGGTTGTATTTCTTGCAAGTGGTCGGAGCTGAGGTGCAGCAGTTGCACACGTGTTTGCAACAAATTTGTGCTGTGGTGCTCCTAGGAATTCAAATGCAAGTCTAACTTAAAAGGTGCCATCTCTCACAAAAACTTCCTGTTTCGCTGAACACAAGTCCATAAATAATTCATAAAAAAATAAAGTTCATACAAGAGTGAATAATACAGGAACGAGGCCCGAACACGGACTTCATTATTTATTACCTTGAAGGAGCATTTATTTTTAAATACAAAAAGGTGAAAGTGGGCAGTCGCTGCTTGTGGAAAGATTTTCGCAGTGTTTTGAGTGTCATCGATGGGCGAGGAAGTGTCGTGGTACCATGAAGTTAGCTGTTCTGCCTGGTCTAGACACTCTGCGAAAGAGAAAAGAGAAATCAATGGTAGAATCATCCTCTACTCGTTCCTCAAATGACTGGGATTCCAACACTTCATATGTGCTCTGTGCCGATGATCATGCGGCTTGTTTGCGCTTCTGATCATGGAGCTGTAGACCAAGCGACAAGGGACATGTTCACTGAGGATTCACTCGGAAGCAAGCACAGAAATAAAACCAAATGTCCTCGATTGTTCTCTAATGAATAATACACCTCAGTCGAGTTTACTTTTTCCAACTCCCGCTTTTTCTCTCACGCAAACGTACGCGAACGGCATCCTCATATCTGGGGCAGCTTGTTTAGCAGAGTGGAAGTGTTGTGGCTCATTTCTTGCGAGGCTTTATCTCTTTGACAAACACATGCCGCAACATTTCACTGATGAAATAAAGCGTATCAGAATAAACAACAAAGAATAAACGTCTCTACCCAGGTTTGTTCTATAGCGCACTCAGTCAAGCCAAAGAAATGCAGACATGCATTTTTTTGTGTGCAGATGAATTGTGTGGTTTGACAAAGAAGAGCAGTGAAAGAATAAATAAATGAACGGGGAGAAAACAGAAAGATGAGAGAAGCGGCTGGCAGCAGAGCTCTATGTTTTCAGGCTGTGCGCCTATTGAAAATAAACCACAGTCTAATTTCCACAGTGATATACACAGGTTTCATTATTTTAGCCACAATCGAACGAAAAAAGCTTCCACAAGGCCGCTGAAATTAAGAGGCAAACCTTTTATTCATTTTTTTTTAATTTAGAGTGCATGAATTAATTCCAATTGACTACATTTCCAAGCCTCATCATGCACACCATTGTGGTGACCAGAGATATCAGCTTGGCCTTCCTGTCTAACACAGCACTGTGTCTTCAAGAGATTGCACAGGTGTTCTGAGGTCTCTATAGTATATGCTGACAGTGACAGATCAGCTTTGGGTCTTCGCACGGCCTTCCTCCCTCAGCTCTCTGGTTCCCAGCCCCAATAGAGAACATATTTCATTCGTTTGCATTCAAACTTATCTAGGTCACAGGCATACTCTGCATATCGGCCTGATGAATGGGTTGTGTCCAGGGCATTTATGCAAGTAACACATCACACCCACTTTTCCATATTGGAGCAAGCCACCATCACCGTTTACAGGTTTTAATTTTTCTCCTCCGTGAATGTAAACATACATACTTTGCATGTTAGATGTCACAGGGGCGGTTTGGAATTAATTACTTTAATGTGTTTGTGTATAAAAGTAGCTGGTAAAAGGCAAAGGACAGAGTTTTACATCTGGTCTAGAGGCCCATTCCCTTTCAGTCTCTGTTCAGGTTCTCAGAAAGTCCAAGGTCATTTTGATAGCATGATAGATAAAGCTTAAAGATGCAGTCATGTTTACAGAAAGCTGCTTAGTTTTGAAAGTGACTTCTATGTGAGCTGTGCTTCAAGCATATTGACAATAGAAATGTTTTACTTACAGTGAAGTTTTCTTGTGAGAACTGATTATACACAAAAATAAGGGGATATATACATTTTAGACGATACAGATAAGCTGATAAATATTGACAATAGTCAATATTAAAATTCAAGGGAATTGAACCATGTACAGTCCAAAAATGGATTTGCATTTTTGAAACGTTATCAATTACATTAAATAGTGTTCGTTTATTTATTTTTTTCTAAATGAAAAAAAAAAAGATGGAAATTAATGGCCACAATTACATATCCAATATTGCATGATAACGATAAATTAAACTAAAAGTCATAAGTCGATCTCTTCGTCATAATAGAACATTTATGTCAATGTTGAAACAATCAAAATAACCACTGCACTGCCTTTAGCTCAGCAAAAGCATATTGTTATAGCACGAAGCCTTATCTGAGTTTTTTTTCCACAACAATACAGCCATTTTACAGCTGTCAGGTTCAAAGTACCATCCAGACGCTTTTTTTGAGAATTGTTACTGACAGGTGACAACAGCGTTTTCATAACTAGTGTGTTTGTTGTTGTTGTTTTTTACCATTTGTCTTTTCTTGAGAGAGATTTTCACCTCCAGTGTCACCTTTCAACTGCCATACAAACCTCCGGCACCTCAACTCTACCTCTTTAAAACACACAAAAGTCGGTAAACATTTGTCTGTCTGTGAAGGCATTCTGACTGAAAAAAACTATACACACATTCAGGGTGCCTTGGGGGGAAACATGCTGAGCTTGATTGGCAAATAGGAAAAGCTTTTTTTCTACTCTCAAACAAGAATGAAATAGAAACGTGTTTATGAGAACCCCATCTGTTTAATGTGCCCTTGTGTGTATTTCACGGTTGCAATAGAAGGAAGGAAGTGTTTGGTAAAACGTTTTCGCTTATCATTTTGGCAAAGCAGAGTGATTTGCAATGTGGCCTAACACCACGGTAAATGTTTTCACAAAGAAACTTTATTCCAATGACCTTGCTTTACTAATGCATTTTCCCCTAACATTTAAGCTAATCTGGATGCATTTTTCCAAGCTGTTACCTCGTTTATGTGGTTCGTTTGCTTTGTTTAATTTGATTCAAAAAGGAGGAGACTTAACTCTCCGAAACAACTGTGGAGGCAGTTATGTAACTGCAGAGAGCATTTGTTGTTTACGTCTGGTGCTCTTTTAGCATAACAAGCAGTATTCCGTTTTCTGACAGCACTACAACCAAACATTGCAACATGGAAATAAAAACCCTGCTCCTCTAATAAACAACATCAGTTCATAATTAGAGCCAGGTTAGGCTCTAAGCCTGCTTATTTTATGGTGTTAAGACCAAAAAACTAAATCAATGTAAACTGTCTTAAAACATTTAACCAACGTTTAAAGACTCAAACCTAAATAAGACGTTACTCTATAGACCCCTTTTGCGCCGACGTCACAGTTACGTCACGGCGCTAGCTGGAGGCAAAACAAAGTGAAAACTGGACGCGGTCAATGCAAAACAGCACAGATTCGGCAACATAATAAGGAGCTTAAATAATTGTTACTATTATTAAATGTCATCTTGTTGTGTTGTTTGGTGCAAGAATTGATGAAAAATGAATATGCTGTATCTGGAACTTTTATTTCTAGAAAATATTCACATCATTAAAATCGCACTGTAATGTCACTCTTTACATTGTCGTGGTCTCGGCGCTGGCTCGGCAGAAATGCGGATCGTACACACAAGTCTTGTACAGGACCATATAGGCATCTAAAGATTTATATGCCTCAGTTTCTCTTTACGATCGGTTTCTCTATAAGGTAGGTGTAGAAGTCAGGCCACTCAACCGAGGTAACGTACGTTAATCCTGTCAGATCATCCATGCATTGAGTGAGCGTGTAGGCGGCTAGAGGTCTGCCAATCTGGTTCCGTCCGTTAAAAATAACTTTTGGAAATAACAATCGCGGTCCTGGACACTGAGTGACCTTACACATTAAAGGGTTAGTTCACCCAAAAATGAAAATTCTGTCAGTATTTACTCACCCTCATGTTGTTCCAACCCCGTAAGACCTTCGTTCATCTTCGGAACACAAATTAAGATATTTAAGATATTAAGATCGCTCCTGCATACAGTCCATAGGCTTCTTGAGGGACTGGCTCTTGCTGTCCTCGAAAAGTCATTAAAGACATCGTTAAAATAGTCCAAGTGACTACAGGGGCTCAATCTTAAGTTTATCAAATGACGAGAACACTTTTGTGCGCAAAAAAACAACAAAAATAACGACTTTATTTCAACTATTCGTTTATTTCTCCCTCTGCGCGAGTCAGGTTACTAGTTTAATAGCGTAAGCTTCTGTTATTGTACGTCACACGCATCACACACACATGACCAGCGTCGGCCAATAGTGAGCCTACGTGTGACGTAGCTCTACGCAATCACACTACGTTAACTGACTTACAGGCTCATGGAGAAGGAAGTGAATAGTTGAAATAAAGTCGTTATTTTTGTTGTTTTTTTGCGCACAAAAGTGTTCTCGTCGTTTGATAAACTTAAGATTGAGCCCCTGTAGTCACTTGGACTATTTTAACGATGTCTTTAATGACTTTTCGGGGACAGCAAGAGCCAGTCCCTCAAGAAGCCTATGGACTGTATGCAGGAGCGATCTTAATATCTTAAAGGGCACCTATTATGCCCCTTTTTACAAGATGTAATATTGGTCTCTGGTGTCCCCAGAATGTATTTGTGAAGTTTCAGCTCAAAATACCCCACAGTTAATTTATTATAACCATTTGAAAATGTCATTTTGGGGCCTGCTTAAAAATGAGCGGTTTCAGGGGGTATTCCACCTTAAATGCAAATGAGCTGCATATCCCCGCCCTGCCTTTGGATGAGGGCGTAACTTGATACCTATGGCAGGCAGTCGGTACTGAGAGAGTGAAGAGACGCGCCATATTGAATGTCATTCAGAGTACGTTTGAATCGGAATATATAAATAGTATGAAGAGACTCCGGCAGAATAAACAAATGAGAATGGACCAGTACGTCTCGGTATGGTTATTTGATACTTTTATGTACTTTAGAGTTGTAATAGCGTCCCATTTGAAATGATGGATGTCCAACACACACACACAGACACTAGCGCAATTTTTTGAAACTACATACACATTCTGTGATAAAGTTTGCTACGTACGAGCGAAATTACATTTATGCGAGGGACCTGTGGCGTTATGTTTAGCTACTTGTCATAGGTGCTTCTGTGGCAAATGTGAGAAGATGGCTAACTTACAGAACACCAACATATATGCAGTTTTTAATACAATATCTTTAAAAATATATATATATTTATAAACGTGTGGTTACACACTATACAAACAAGGTTTAAATTATATACACAGACATCCTATGACGGCAATAACTTTAGACGCATTTGTTGTTGAATTGGCTGACATTGACTGAAAAGACTATTTGCTCAAAAATCATAAAATACACTTACTGTTACTGGGGTGCCGGTGGATCGCAAACAGTAGACGACGATCCACACTTGAGGATTAACTTTTAAGC